AATCTTCAGGACATCACAAAAATTTGACTGGTATTTCTGTGAGTACACATTGGGCAATGGATTCTTTTTCTTCAGGCAAAAATTTGATGGTATTTCTGTGAGTCCTGAATGTTAAAATTACCTGTTTAGAAACGTCTTGTTTAGTCCTCTTCACGTGACAGGTTCAACGGATAAAACATGTGACGGCGACACCTAGTTGGTCGAGTCCATAAACATCTTAACAGATGGTAAGACGAGGCTACGAAGGTGACAGATGGTGCGACGAGGCGGCCACAGTAACAGGTGTTGTATGAGGATGGTAAGGGACCAGGTGGCGGGACGATGTAGCGATATGACCGTTGGACTACATGGCGACGGCTTGCAAGAGAGAGGAAAGACGGACGCAATCATGTCATGGTCAAGTTGCAGTGCATGTTATACTATAGTGTGATGCGCACAAAGTTAACACTTGAATAGAATCACTTCTGCTTCTCCCTCTTCGCACACGAGTGCATAAGATCAACCACATCCGGTCTTTTCTACCGATTGTGAGCCCAAAGTACAAGCTTGAGGCCGGTGCGACCGCACAAGCCAAACCAGCCAAGGTAACCGACCCTCCTAACAAGGCCGCCAGATAACAACATTAAGAGAAGTCGACAGCGCCCATTGGGGCGATGGACAAGATGATGGCGATTCTCGGGGACATCAGCAATAGAATGATACGCTTGGAGTTGTCCCAGAGAGAGCAAGCCGAGAGGGACGTCAGGGAACCTTCGGAGTCTTTTTTCAATTCAGTCCTGGGAGCTGGATTGACTCTCAAAGCTTTGGATGGAGATCTTCCCCGGAAGAAGTATCCAACCGATTTTGAAGCAAGGCGTCAAGACTTCGGATATGTTGGCGTGCATCGTGGCGAATACGGTGGCGCGGAAGCCAGGATGGGTGCGGTGCCGGAACCGACAAACCCCAGGCAAGAAACATCCCCGGACATATACCCCGGTGTCGGCATGCCTGACAGGTTTTTTGCCGACGAAGACCCTCAAGTCTACGGGATGCCGGACGCGAAGGATCGGAAACTCGCACTTCAATCATTCGACGTCAAGGAGCTCTACCTGTGACTGGTAGTGGGTTCGTCGGATGGGGAAAGGAATTAGTACGGCAAAATGCATTCACGGAGCGTGCATGTGGATTTGCATGGCCGAAGGACATCAAGGTCGACGTGCTGGGACAGCATCTAGGTTGCAAGGCTCAGATCTACTATCGTTGACAGGTCGAGTCTTGGTGGATGGAAAGCCAGACCCTGGACCATGCCATGCAAAGGATGCTCCAGATTTTCAACACCAGGCTCTCACCTGGACAAAGCATGAAGCTCTTCACGGCACCGAAGGCGGCACACACAAATTGGACGGACCATTACATGTGCCTGACGGTCGTGAGTGATGCACCTGGAGGAGTGGACAACCTGGTGCTTCAAAACATCTTCAACTACGCGAACCCAAGAATGAGGATGACTATGTTGTCGAGGTTTATCATTCACCGACCCGACTCTCTACGGCAAGCCGAAGAGTTGGCTCAGTTCGCACAACATGTGGAAATTGAGTCGCATGCGAAGAACTTGGGTCGCGACGTGGTGAACGCGGTTGAGCCACGAAGGGAGCCGAAGGAGAGGGTCACTACAAGGTTAATAATAGACGTTGGTGAAGGCGATCAGTGTACATGCTACAGGTGTGGGGCAGCTAGCCCTATCGGGTCAAGGTGTCCACGGGCGAAAAAAAAGGATGCAAGTGCAGACTTCCCGTTTACAGTCGGAAAAGTGGTAACCTTCATGATGATCACTGGATACTCGACACTGGGTCCAGCAGACACTTGGTCAACGACCTAAGCCTGTTGATCAACCCCGAAGATTATCGGGTGAATGCTTGACTGCGGTCACCGACGGAGGTGTGCTTCGGGTGACCAAGCAAGGGAGCGTCGACATCAAGGTTGCCGCGATCGGAGTCGTGAAGACGATTAGACTCCTCGATGTCCAGTATGCTGTCAACCTCGAGCGATCATCATATTTATGGTAGGCTCGAGGCTAAAGGATGCATACTCAAATATCGAGGATTGTAGCGGAGCTACACAGCTCCTTAAGTCAGAGGAAGACTTAACGCTCTACAAGCAACTTAGTTCCAAAGAACTAATGCCTTTACGAGTCAACAAGCTTTACAGCTTCAGATCCCTGTTCCAGGGGGACCTAACGATTCAGTGAATCGACAGCACTCAGTGCTCAAGAGTAGCTACCTCAAGGAGGTGTCGCTAGCTCTTAGTGATCAGTGATCAACGATTAAGACGGCTCGCAAGCCACGTGTCCTTCAGATCAAAATGGGAACTGATTTTATTTTGTTAAAGCCTATATAATATCTTAATCCTACTCAAAGATCTTTCGTACCTAATGGCTGACACTCGTCAGCCCCTACAAACCAATAAGATATTCGATATCACCTTCACAAAGGGATAACCTCAGGTGTGTAACACCCCTGGTAAAACGTACCATAATTTCGTGCAACCCCGTTACACCCTCCCCCACCAGAACGACGTTTGCCAAAACGTCAATCGAACTTGTGTTCTCAGCGAGAACAGTGCGCGTACGGTGAACCTCACGGTAACGTACGCTCCAGCACGATGTCCTCATCACCAAACGAGTCAAAGGCTCTGTGTGACCACCTTGGGATAGAGGAGGAGGTGGACTATGGTAGCGATACCAGTGTCCGCGGTGATACAGGGACAATGTCCGGCTCACTGATGCCTGAGGCACAACTTTCGAACACCAAAAATCCGTTCGCTGAACGTGGAGGTGCGAGCGCGCCACCAGCGCAGTATGCAGCGTCTGGGTCTGATGAGACTATCATCACGAACCCGCTCGATGAGCAACAACAACTGCTTGCTCAAAGAGAAGAAAACGCTCAGCGTCATGTACAAATGGCTACAACCCTTGAACGCCAGCGTGACTATGTGTTCACCCCACCCAGTGTGGAGGAACGTCTACGTCAAGCGGCCGGCCAAGCATTGACAATGTGGGTCATTGGCCATGGGCCTAAGACTCCTGAGGAGGTTGTGAGCTTCCAGGCACTTTGCGAGAGGTACCTGAAGCCGCACCTAACGACATAAAGTCAATACAAGGCACGCCTTGACATGCAAGCGCGTGGTACACCGGTTCCACCGATCAAGGGTATACCCCTTCTCTTGTTCGCAGGCGAAACAGTGAGCGAAGAAGACGATGCCTTTGTTTACTGGGTGCACTATGTGCGTCGCATCAGCAACATTTTTGCTCTAAGGGCTAGTGCCAGTGTGGCTGACGTGCGTCTTGAACGCAAGCTTCGGTATGATTATGCCAAGCTTGAGGCCAGAGGCCAATTACGCAAGCGCACGCGCTATGCTTCGTCTACTAAGGTAGCCGCGAGTGCTGGTCAATCTGTGGCAACGTACCCGCCAGCCCGCACCACTAGTGGTGGGGAACGGCCTCGGCCTCGAGACGACCATGGCCACGATGCTCAAAAGCCTCCAAAGCATATGGGTAGTCTTGCCGAAGGGGTACCTCAAATTCCCATGAGGTTTCAGATTCAGGGTACCCACGCCACTTTACCAGATACTGGTATTGGCCCTGACGACGACGTCGTTTCAGTAGTCTCTCGACATGAAATTGACGACACCCATGCTCATCGAGCAAAGTCGGTGGCGGCCGGTGTACCGGTGGAGGCCCACGAGAAATTGGTTCTCGAAGTGAAGGGTATTCAAGAGGACTTGGGTAAGTCCCAGTGCATGCTGGATGCGATGCAAAGCCGCCTTCAGGCGATGGAGCAAGTTCAAACTCGGAGCGAGGCTCAGTTGGACTTGCTGATTCGTCTACAGCAATCCGGGGCAGTGCCCTTGTCGTCGGCGCAAGCGCCTCCAAGTTCACATGAGAAGGATCCCGGTACAGCTTAAGACAGCCTACGTAGAACACTGGATGTGTGCGCAATTTGCGCGGAAGGTTTAGCGTATACGCAAGTCCCTTCTTGGACGTGACCGTAAACGGTCCAATAAAGCGGGGACGCAACTTCGTCTTAAAGACAGCAGCCACTACATTTGTAGGTAGATTTTTAGCATTGAGTAGTACTTGGTCTCCGACCTCATAACGTTTAATACAATTTCTGCCTTTGGCATCAGCTTGTTGTTTTTGGGTATCTTGGCTATCAGCCATTGCGTCACGCACATGTCTTAAGACATTTAATCGCGTTGCGAGAAACTCGCTTACCTGTTTTTGGACAGTAGCAGGGCTGATATCAGCAAGCCGATCGGCAACCTCACCCCCACCAAGCCCTGATTCACGTAGTGATAGCGTTAACGGAACGCGAGGGTGGGTGAGACCGTTTATATAGAACGGAGTAAAGCCTGTTGAGGCATCAAAAGTGTTATTCAACGCAAACTCAACAACAGGGAGCATTGAGCTCCAACGCCTAAGCGTATCAGCGCAAATACTGCACAAAATGTCGTTGATGACGCGGTTTACGCGCTCAGTATGACCGTCGGTCTGCGGATGATCCGCTGTGGACATGTCCAACCGAGTGCGAAGCACCTTGAAGATAGACTTCCAAAACTTTCCAGTGAAGCGGGGGTCTCAATCAGAGATAATTGACACAGGCAAGCCATGTTGGCGAAACACACGGTCGATAAACAGCTTTGCTGTACCTTCAGCACCGATGCTATCCGGCACAGCCACTAAGTGAGCCATCTTGCTCAATCGGTCAACAAAGACCACAATACCAGTGTTGCCTTCCGAATCTTTCGGTAGGCCAAACACAAAATCCATGCTCTTGGACTCCCAACAACCAGTGGGTACTGGAAAACTAGCCAGCGGCGCCGCCGCATGTGCCGAGGGTTTTACCCGTTGACACGTTTCGCACGTACGCACATAGGTGCGCACCCACTTATAAAGTTTGGGCCACCAATAACTTTGGCTCACCGAGCTATAAGTCTTCTTACGACCGAGATGACGACTTAAAGCAGTATCATGTGCCTCATAGAGGATCCGATACTTTATTTCCTCATCATGAGGTACAACGATACGAGGGTTGTCCTCAATATCCGTGCGATAGCACAACAGGCCATTATCGATGGAATATCGATGTAGCCTCGCACATAAACGTGCCGACAATTCTATGTCCGAGTCTTTAAAGTCATCGCTCCCAAGAGCCCGTAGCAAAGCTACACACTGTTCATCCTTGGCATATGCCGCACGGATTAAGTCAGTGACCGACGACGACAGAGTCGTAACATGAGCAAGCTCATAGTCAGGTCGACGCGAATAACGCATCAGCCAAAGCGTTTTGCTTACCTGACTTGTACTTCACCTCGAAGTTATATTCGGCAAAGAAGGAAAGCCAACGAGCCATTCTCTGTGAGAGATGAGGCGACTGTGTCGCAGTGCGTAATGACGCATGATCTGTATAGACCACAAAAGGCTTTGAGCCAAGCAGATGTACTCTGAATTTGACTAGAGCGTACTTCATAGCAAGTAGCTCTTTGTCATGAACTGGATAGTTCTTTTCGGCAGCTTTCAGCTGTCGAGAATCGAATGCGATGACGCGTTCGCGTCCATCGACATCTGTTTGTAACAGAGCACTGCCTATGGCAAAGTCAGATGCGTCACAGACGACACTGAAAGGCCGATCAGGATCGGGCAAAGCCAATATTGGCGCATGAAGAAGAATTTCTTTAACGGCTTCAAACGCATCATGTTCGGTGTTACTCCAACACCAATCCACATCTTTTTAAGGAGATTGGACAATGGCCGAGCCATATCTGCGTAATTCGCACTGTACTTATGTAAGTAATTGGCAAGGCCAAGCCACTTACGCAAGTCCTTTTGGTTCTTGGGGACTGTCCAATCGACTATGGCTTTTACCTTAGCGGGATCCGCTCGAAGGCCTCGCTTCCCAATGAAGCACCCTAGAAAGGGAATCTCTTCTGCACCAAAGATGCACTTCGATGCGTTCGCATACAGCTTATTCGTTCGCATACACTCGAGCACCGCTCGTAAATGATCGATGTGGTTATCCACACCTAATAGCCCATTCATTGCACGACTATGGACAAA